GGGGACTGGCTGAAGGCAGGACCCCGAAACCCCAAAACCACGCTGGGATGGCCCAAGCTGAGCGCACACGGGTTTTGGGGTGTCTGGGACAAAGCCTGGAGCAAAGGGGAAAGTGCTGGGCTGAGCTTTGCTGGCCCATCTTTGGGGAGGGCCAGCCCCGGGGGGGGACCCTGGCCAGAGCTGGGTGAGCCATCCCCCCCGCAGCACCCCACTCACCACCTCTTTGCTCTTGGTGGCACCAGGGTGGCCCAGGTGGGTCTTGACGATGAGGCAGGCTTCCCGCATCCTGGGGCTGAGCTCGAACCTGGGGAGAGCACGAGAGTGTCTGCGGTGCGGGGCTGCCTCACCCACCAAAACCATGCTGGCAAGGGGCACCCCGAGTCCCCCCGCGGAGGTTTGGCTCTTCTCCCCGATGCCTGGGAGCCTCCATGAGCTCCCCATGGTGCGATGTCCAGCCTGGTGGTTGCACCCTGCCAGCTTCAGCCTCTGCAAACGCCCGCTGAACCAAGCCTTATAGGGACATGCTCAGGCAGGATTTACCCATTTTTAGGCCAGATTTTTTCCTTTTGTTGGAAAATGCCATTAAGGGCTGTTGGTCCCCCCCCAACTATCTTCTCCAGCAAAGAGGCATCTGGGGCCTCGGTCTCATCCTTTCTTTAGCAGACCCGAGAAGCTGGAAGGATTTTTGTTTCCTGCCGAATGGTTTCTGCAGGAGCTGAATGTGTTTCTCCCATCGGCTGCACCGAAGCCAGGGCAGACTCCCCGTGTCGGCAGGGCTACGGCCAGCCCAGAGCTTCCAGCTGCGCAGGGCGAGGGAGCCTTCCCCATCGGCACTTACTTCTCCTTCACCTCCGGGGGCTCCGGCAGGGTCACACCGGCCCCCTCGCACTCCCATCCTGGCTCACACTCGCCTTCTCCGGCATCCTCGTCTGAGGTTTCCACATCCCCCTGCTCCTCACTGTCGGAGCTGTCAACCGAAGCCTTCTCGGAGGAGCTGTCGTCTTCCTCCTCCTCCTCCTCGCTGGATGTGCTCTCGTACCTGCATGGAGGGAGGATGCTCAGTGGCAATGCAGCACCCAGCAGGTCCCCTCCGTGCCCCCCTTTGCCACTGCCCCCAGCCCAGGATGGGGATGCCAGGGGCCGGGGCTGGCCCAGGGGGGTGGCGGGAGCCCCTCGGCACGTACTCCCCGTTCAGCACGCCCACAAACTGCAGGCTCTTCTTGCTGCCCTCAGCCTCGCTCCGGGGCGGACCGTCCCGCTTCTTCATGATGGACTTCAGGGCTCCTCCCTCCGTGCCCCCCTTTGCCACTGCCCCCAGCCCAGGATGGGGATGCCAGGGGCCGGGGCTGGCCCAGGGGGGTGGCGGGAGCCCCTCGGCACGTACTCCCCGTTCAGCACGCCCACAAACTGCAGGCTCTTCTTGCTGCCCTCAGCCTCGCTCCGGGGCGGACCGTCCCGCTTCTTCATGATGGACTTCAGGGCTCCTGGAGGCAGAGAGATGGGTGTCAGGGGCCAGCGAGCCGGAGGCTCCTCACGGGGCTGCCCAGGCACCCCAAACCCACCAGCCCCCAGGGCGGGCACGGCAGGCACACGGGCAGAGAGCAGGCAGCTGCAGTGACACAGGTAGCATTGGCCCTGCGGGGGCTGTCCCCAGGCGGGCCCTGCTCTCCCCTCCCAGCCCCCTG